GACCCTCACATGACCCATGAGACCCTCACACGGCCCATCAGACCCTCACACGGCCCATCAGACCCTCACACGGCCCATCAGACCCTCACATGACCCATGAGACCCTCACACGGCCCATCAGACCCTCACATGACCCATGAGACCCTCACACGGCCCATCAGACCCTCACACGACCCGTCAGACCCTCATACGGCCCATCAGACCCTCACACGACCCGTCAGACCCTCACACGACCCGTCAGACCCTCACATGACCTGTCAGACCCTCAAACAGCCCATCACAGACCCTCACATGACCCATGAGACCCTCACACGGCCCATGAGACCCTCACACGGCCCATCAGACCCTCACACGGCCCATGAGACCCTCACATGACCTATCAGACCCTCACACGGCCCATCAGACCCTCACATGATCCATGAGACCCTCACACGGCCCCATCACAGACCCTCACACGACCCGTCAGACCCTCATACGGCCCATCAGACCCTCACATGACCTGTCAGACCCTCACATGACCCATCAGACCCTCACACGGCCCCGTCACAGACCCTCACACGGCCCTGTCACAGACCCTCCACAGTGGGCACCAGTCCAGCCCAAAGCCAAGAGCACCCACCAGGTGAGGATTTCCCTGGGCCGCCTCACAGACCCCGAGGCCCCGAGACAAGCAAGGGGCTGAGGTCTCAGCTCAGACACCACGGGCTGGGTTCACTCTCTTTCTTCTCCAGGGGAAACATGAGGCTTTGAAGGCACAGAGCCAGAGCTACAGCTAGGGTCCTGGAGAAACCCACTACCTAGAGGTCTCTAACTGTCCTGTGCTGACCAGGGCCACTGCCCACCGTCCATTCTGGGGTCTCTAGGAGGGGAAGGGGCTCAAGAAGGTGCAGAAGTCAGAGGTTGGGTGGAGGGCTCTGAGTCTGGTGGCCAGTCTGCTCGGCCTGGAATGTCCTGCCCCCACTCTGAGCTACAAGCTGACGGTCAACCGTGGGATCCCCAAACCAAGGACCTGCGGCAGGAGTGAGATGCCTCTACTTCCAAAGGGTCCTGAGAGCATCCAGGTGTCCTACAAGCAGTTAAATGCTTGGCTGCTAACAGAAAGGTCAGTGGTTCGAACCCACTAGTGGCTCCCAGGGAGAAAGAACTAGTGACCTGACCCCATAAAAGTCACAACGTTGGGGGACCCTCTGGGGCAAGTCCAGACAACAGGAACATTCCAGGCCTTGGGCCTCTGTGGAATAGGCCAAGACATGGAGAGGAAGCTTCGGAGAGAGACTCCCCTGTGGCCTGTGTCCCTCCTGATACCCCCGAATGTCTTCCCAGGGGCCTGCGAGCAGAGCTTGGTGGGGCCCATGGTCTGGTCCAAGTGTGCAGGCAGACACCCTGCTCACCTGTGTAGACGCCAGTGACAATGTCTCCGTCGTCGGGCCGGGGGCTGTCTGCGACCCACGGTTCTTCCTCTTGCTCCAGGCGGGAGATCAGATCTGGCTTGGGGATCGGATATCCTGCTCGGAAGGAAGTCAGCGGAGGCTCAGCCTCTGCCCAGCCGGGCACCACCTCACCCCCAGACCTGCCGCCATCTGCCTCCCTCCTCTCCCTTCGTCCAGGTACAACTCCCCCTCTCCTTGGCTTCCCGGGGAAGGCCCAGTCCGCCCTCTGACAAATCTTCACCCGAGGGGCCCAGGCCTCACCCCTCCAGGGTCCTGGGAGCATCCTCCGAGTCCAGAGCTGGACTAGGGTTCCATGGGGCATGGTGGGCCGCACAACACCCCAGTCTAGTGCCATGGTGCCCCCCCTTCCCTAGGGGATGATCTGCCTCCAGAACCCACTTCTTCCAGACCCCAGGGCCACAGCCACACCATGGCTGCCCTTGGCGAGGCAGGATCCTTACCCAGAGACATCAGGATCCCGTAGTTCTCTTGCATGACATCCTTGTAGAGGGCCCGCTGGCCTGCATCCAGCTTGTCCCACTCCTCCAGGGAGAAGTACACGGCTACATCCTCAAAGGTCACCAGCCCCTGGAGGACAGAGCCCAGGACACTGCCCTCTGCGGCCGGGCTGGGGGGGGGGGTCCAACAGAGAGATGGACAAGGCCCCCCAACAGGCCTTTCCCAGGGACAGCCCAGCCCCCCATCTGTAGGTTTTAAAGACTCTCAGGCTTCTACACACCCCTGGGGACAGGACCCCAGTCCTGTCTCAGAGACAGGGAAGTCAAGTTTGGGGAGGTGACAGTACAGCTTGTCAGGAGAGACCTATGATTCACGCTGAGGCCAGGAGGCCTCAAAGCCCCCAGCCTGCAGGTCTCCCCCCGGCAGTCTCATTGAAGCAAACGCTATGGTCACACTGGCCAAATGAAGTTCCACCCTGGATAGAGAACTGGTATCGATTAAACCAAGTGTGGGCCTGACTGCTGGAACCAGCCCAGGTGACATTTTTGCATAAAGAGACCAGCCCTGGACAGGAGGCAGTTTCACAGGTGATGGAAGTGGCTCTAGGGAGGCGGCACCTCAGCAGGCAGAGCCTGGTACCATGGAGAGTGCTGCTGAACGGGGCAGGTGACGCGATCGTGTCACTCAAGTGGACTGGGGACAGCTGGGTCCCCAGAAGGCTGCACCTTCAAGTGTCAGCATGGGCTCAGCCCTGATGGACTCAGAGCCAGACCGGCTGACACTCAGTGGCCGGCCTTGGTCGTCGGGGTCTCCAGCGCTGCAGATGCCAAGACCACCTGGGAAACCCTACCTGAAGTGACCCGCCCAGTGCAGCTCCACAGACGCTGCTCACCTGGGACCCGGCTGTTAGGAAACCGTTCTCAGCTGCCTCGTCGTCATCTTCCTCCTCCTCTTCATCTTCCTCTTCTTCCTCCTCCTCCAGGTCCTCATCTCCAGGGACAGCTGGAACCTGGGTGATCTGCAGAGCTGAGAGGAGTAGTCTCTTAGCAGCTGTCTATCTTCTCATGCTCTGGCCCTCTGCCCATGGGCAGCTCCTGACCTAGTCCCAGGCCTCCCCCAGATCTTTGATGTCCTCTGTCTTCCCCCAGACCCCTGATGTCCTGCCCCCAAGGCCCCTGATATCCTCTGTCCTCCTCCAGGCCTCTGATATCCTCCCCCAGGCCCCCAATGTCCTCCCCCAGACTCCTCCATACTCTTCTCAGGGAGCTCTGGGGACCTGGTGCCACCTCTGCTCTGTAGCTGCTGGGTCCCTGACACCGGGCTCTGCTCCTCCTTGGCGGCCACCTCCTGCTCCTCTGTCAGCTCTGTGGTCACCTCTGCCACGGCGGTCACCTCCGCCACCACGTCCACCTCTTGCTCCTCTGCCAGCTCTGTGGTCACCTCCGCCACCACGTCCACCTCCTGCTCCTCTGCCAGCTCTGTGGTCACCTCCGCCACCACGTCCACCTC